ACCAATGAATACAGCAGTATTTAAAACAAAGTCTCTCTGTCCTGAAGCATACGTTCTAGTAAAGAGACAGACAATTAACAAGTAAATTAATATATGATGGTTGGTGGTCATGAGTTCTTTGAAGGAAAAGGTGAGGGATGAGGGGATAGAGAGTGATAAAAAGGGGGAGTGCAGTTCCAGGCAACATGGCGCTATAGGCAGAAGCACCACGCTGTCTCTCCACAGCAAAGATCTGAAAAACTAAGCCAAACAGAGAAAATGGCAATCCTGAAACCCTAAGCATCACATGAAGAGACAAAGAACTCAGCCAAGCACCAAGTGGAATAAGAAAGTGACAGAGAACAGACAGCGAGGAGAGATACATGCAGAGGTCCCCTATCAGCTAACGCAGCACAGATCCGCCATCTTGGACTCCTATCGGAGATCAGCGAACAAGGGGTATGAGGAAGCAGCTTCACAGAGCTTCCAGCAGGAGACAGAACAACCAGTAACCAGTGATATACACTTCCCCACCCCCTACCCTTCTTCACCCCCACTCGGCCTGCTCTGCTTCCTACAGCCAGTCTCTTGGCTGGGAAGCACCACCTTCATTTTGGTGTCGCTTGATTTCTACCCACACGCACTGGCCAGCTCCCTAAGTGCCATTTCTTTTCTTTTCTTAAATTGGGAGCCCGTTCTAGCCAGGCAGTACTGTGCGGCTTGGGATCTACCCCCTCAGTTTGCGCAGACGCTCAGAGGGATCCCCGAGGGCATTTCTTTTCTCTTGTTTTTTGGGGGGGCTTTTCTTTTTCTGTTTTTCTTTGGGGGTTTTTCTTGTTCTTTTTTTTAATTTATTTGTTTTCTTTTCCTTCTTTTTCCCTTTTCTTCTTTCTTCATTACTCAGTTTCTCATCTCTTTATACTTTCTTTCTCTTCCTCTCCCCTGAACCCCTGGTGCTGAGTGACACCTCTACCCCTTCTAGCCAGGCTGTACTTCACAGCCTGGAAGCAACTTCCCCAGACCTCACAGCTGCACCGGAGGGATCCCTAGGAGCTTTGCTTTTCTTCTTTCTAATTTTTATTTATTCATTTTTTTCTTCTCTTTTTTTTCTTCTTCTCCTTTTTGTTTTTCTCCATTTCATAGTCTCTCATCTCTCCACTCCAATGGCAAGCTCTCCTAGCACTCTTTTTTGTTTGTATGTTTTTGTCTCCCATTCCTCTCTCCTCTCTCCCACTCCTCTCTCCTATACCCATTTTAACTCTACACATCACAGTCTCCCCCCTCTGTCCTGCCTTCTGCACCGTGTGCTGAACATCACACCACCAAGCAGCCCAGGCACGGCCTACCAGAACCTGCCCTGCACTAATTACCAGCCCGCCATGGTGGCCATACTAAGTGCCACAAACAACCCATCCCAGCAACTCCTCTTCAGCTAGACCTGCCCTGCTGTACCATATCTGAGCAACTGACCCTGTCAACTGGAGAGGGAGGTGAAAAGTATCATGCCCAAAGACAAGCAAACAACAAAGAACACACAGCCCGCCTGCTCAGACATAGCCAAATAAAACAAAAAAGTGGACGAAACAAACAAATCTACAATCAGTAAATAAGGAAAATAACTACCAAATGCCCTGAAGACAGCAGACAATACAAAACATTTACAAAAACAGGACAGGATTCTTCCAGTAGACATCGGAGATAAAACACCAGATGACTTTCCAGTAGAAGACAAGGCACTAGAACTACCTGATAGGGAATTCAAATCTCTAATATTCAGAGCTATGCAAGAGTTGAAGCAAAAAGCAGACAAAAATGAGGAAAAAATAGACAAATTCATGGAAAATAC